ACTAATTTTTAAAACTTCATGTATGTATTCAACTTCAAGAGATTATCCATCAACAGAATCCAGAAATGATCATCAAATAATACAGAAGTCAAGAGTAACACAATGAACATTGTCCAACTCTGAGAACTATTTTCTGTCCGAACTACGCTTTATGTTCTTTATGAAAATGTGTTTCCAAAATATGCTAGAAGAATACAGGGGGTAGAGGAATCCATGCAATTGAAAGGCCTGTAAAGCAATGTATAGTTCTTGGAAAAAAAATGTAAAACAAATTTGATGAAAATTAAATAAACAGTTTATGAGATACAAGGTAAATGAAACTGCTACTTTTTACCGTTTAGTTCCAATATTGCCACCAGGTGGCAGCCTACAGCCAAAATGGCTTGCCACATTGCACTCAAACTTTCAGAACACCTTCCTCCCAGTAAAGGTAGCAAATCCTGTAGGTTTCATGAAAATCGGAGAAAGTTCACAGTTTACCATATTTGGCCTTTTCGTGAAGTGGCCCAACATAGGGGGCGCTTTTTGCCACCAAAAGGTGAAATTACCACATTTTCGCACAGCAATTTCTCAATGCGCCCTGAACTTGTGCGCCCAAAGTCAGCCGCCATAATTTTCGTTGAAATCAAAGTAAGAGATGCTAATCTATCATAACATGCATAAAAGACCTTGGCTGACTTAGGGCGCAAGCCACACAACCCCCGGGAAAGTATGCATAATTACAAAATGTAGTGATTTGCAGCGCCACCTATGGGCTGCGCCCTTAGTCAGCCGCCAACATTCTCACGTTTTTCAAGAGTCAATACCGAATAGACTTACACAAATGAAAATCTATGTGGCTCGCTTAGGGCGCACAGAAATATCGGCATTCACAAACCTAATTTTGGTTATTTTGCCATTTGGGCCGTTTTTGACCCCGATATTCCAGGAGCCTCTTAAAAAAAAGCGGACCCTATTGAGGATAGAAAATGTGATTTTTGTCCGTTACCAACATATATCTACCTATAAAAAAAGTTTGTGACAAATCTGAAGGGGTCATGAATCACCACCCGCATGACTCTTATAAAAACTGGCTCTTAAAGTTAACAATAAAAAACATACTTTTGAGCCTTCTGACTTCCCCTTTTTATTGTATTTGTAGGAATTTTGTAATTGCAGTTTCTTACAAGATCTGAGGAAAAAATAAAACCTTTAATTCTGCTTTGTGAAATCAATAACTTTCATCTACTATCACAACTCTCACAAAAACTTGGGATAAATGAATTATCTTAACTACCTACAATTCAGTTGAACACTATAGTTTCATTTATCTTACATAACACTGAAATATTGAGATATCTTTCATTCTTTCTTACTTCATTATTGTCAAATTATATTTTACTTCCACCACCTTTGCAAATTGGATCAGTTTATGTTTTGGTTTTTATAATTTTTTGTTGATCTTTGAGTATTGATGGTGCTTGAACTATATGAAAAACATACATGAAAATCTTGATAGTTCTATTTCTAAACAAAAACATTCAGAGAAATACAAGTAATGACTTCAATACCACATTTATTACCACACTCAAATGAATGACTTATCTTTTTTTATCAGGTATTAATGTTAGATAACTATTATATACAATTTTAATCAATTTTAACTAGTGTATAATTTATCCTACAACAAGATGGTAATTATTTTACTACCTTGTAGTTGCATTTTACTCTAGTTATGAGACTTTCTATTTTAGTTATTTTACAAAAATAGTTTAGTGTAGTTAGAAAGCTGCCTGAATTTTGGTTAATGTTGCCTGGTGTATAATGTAGCTGGCTAAAACAGTGTATCTGTTTTACCTATCATACAATGCATTTTATTGTAGCTAGAAGGCTGTTTCTGTTTTACCTTTATATTAAAAGTATTTTAAATATTTAAATAAGCAATTCAGTGAAAACCATGGCCAGTATAAAGTAGCAATGAAAAAGCATGTACCAGAACGACATTTTGACATTATTTGGTATTTTGTAGGTAGTATTATGACAGCAAAAAGTTATTCACTTTTGGGAAGGGTATGTAACAGCCCTTTTCAGTGCAAAATATTCATACATTCAGATCATAAGGATGTGTTCAGATTGGGGATTTAGACCTTCCAAGACAAATGTATTCCTTGTACTTAATGACATTGGAAAACAAGGGAATATATATCAACATGAGGCAACAAGACCATCCACAAAGAGCCCTGCAAAGTCATATTCCAGTAGTGGTAAGCAAAGTTATGGTGTGCCTTGTAATGGGTGTGATTCCAAAACATAAAGATCAGTGGAAAAAGCAACTAAAAAACATAATCAAGAAGGATCTTTATTTCTTAAACTGACAGAAGTTACCTGTACCCAAGTTGTTTCCATGAAATATCTGTTGAACCATCACAAATCTCAAGCAGCTAAAATGAAACAGGTATTCATACATTTCAATAAAAAGACATCCACATCAAATCAAAGATGGATTTCTGTGTGATTGGACTATTAAAATGGATGTTTACAAATATTGATCGTTAGACATTAGATGGATTATTGAAAGCCTGTAGGGAGGATATCCTTATGACATAGTCTTTTGTAATGGAAGGTATACAGGAGGGCTATTTTCAAGATGTATGGTCATCAGATAGAGAACAACTGTATGTAATGACATGGAATGCATTGATGGAATGAGGCTCCAAATTCATTTTAATATAGCATACTCAAACTCTGTGTTTATTTTAAATATTCAGTTTTAGTTTGAAAGATGTTTATGTTTTTCCAAATTTAATGTATCATAATTTATCTTTCTCACCTTTAAGGTTGCATATTTTATGTGTTTTGTAAGGTGTATCTTATTCTAGTTACAGAATATTTTTATAACTCAGTTTTTCTAATACTTGTGGCTTGCCAAAAGAAGTAATTTCATTCATAGATTAGTATGTTAGTGTTAGAGGAAAGTAAATTATTCACCTTGTTGATTAACAACTGTTCAAGTTACAAAGCTGTTCCTGAGATTTTGGGAGCTGTAGCTGCCGGTCTGTTGTTCAACCCTGTAATATCTTTTTTTCTGAAGCTAAGGCACACTGTCTCTGTAATCTAAAACGTTGAAACATATCCTTCTTTACTTGTGTGTATAATTCAGATTTCATACGCAATCATACAACAATATTGTCAGAGATCAAATAAAGTGAAACTTTATACTCATTAGCTATCCTGGATTACTCATTTTCATTGTGAAATCTGATAAGTACACTACTTGGTCTACATTATTTAAAAGCAGTGCAAGTCATCTAGTTTAACATTAAATCCAATTTTACTTGCATTTATCATCATTAGTTTTATTTTTGACCTTCAGAGGCCCAACTGTAAGTCTGAAGGCTTAAAATGCTAAAAAACCTGGGTTTGATACCTGTGGTGGGCACAGCACAGATAGCCACTGCGTAGCTTGTGCTTAACAACAAACAAATCATCCTTTTTTTAATGTTTCGTGAAGCACATATTTTATAAAGTTACACAGTTTACTTAGTGTAATAACTCTCCCATATCAGGTGATTAAAAATTATGACCAAAAATGTTATTTTTAATAAGCATATTTTAATTTTCATTTAATATTCTCATTGTCCATTAAAACTGTTCATCATTTGAATCAATCCAAAACCTGTTGTCTCAGGGATATATGTGATATTATAAATTAGCTACCAGTTAAAGAAACTAAAGATGAGAATCAGAAACTAAACCAAGATTAACTGAAAAATTCGTTTCTAAACTGCTAAAAATGAAGAACATTTTTAAAGTAACTAAAGGCATAAAAATATAATTTCTGTGTGGACAAATACAGGGTGGTCCAAAATTATCTTTCCTCTTTCAAAATGTAATAATTAAATAACTAATGACATACAACCATGCAGCCTTCAACATCTTTTAGCCCAACTCAAACAGTTTTTTTTTTTCACTCCAGTCAGTGATTGCACATGTGGTGCAGCGTAATTACAGACACAAGTACAGAAAACAAGTACCATTGAAACCAACTATCCTAGAGTGGATGAAGAAGCTCTTGCAGGCAGGGAGTATGTTAAAATATTGAAAGTTAGGCAGTACTGAACAAGGCATATGAATCGTTTCAGCATAGTCCACAAAAAATCACTTCAGTGTGCTTCACAAGAACTTAAGATGCCAAAAACATCCTTGCTCTATGTCATTCATAAATGTCTTCATCTGCTTGTCAACAAACTTCATTTGGTACAGGCACTGCATCCAGATGATAAGTCAAAGTGCAAGACATTTGCAGTGAACCTCCTTGACCACATAGATGGAGACAACACATTTCTAGCACGTATAATGTTCAGAGATGATGCTACATTTCATACCTCGGGTAATGTGAATCATCATAAAGTCTGTATTTGGGGCTTGGAAAACCCCATGACACCATTGAAATTGTGCATGATAGCCCAAAGGTGAATGTGTTGTATGGTCTCATGTGTGACAGGGTTATGGGTCCTTTCTCTTTTGCTGAGAGCACTATTAGTGGGAGTGTATACCTTGACATGCTGGAACAACCATGAGTAAGCTTTCAACAAGATGGTGCTCCACCTCACTGAAGTTTGCTGGTTAGATGCTTCCTAAATCAGACGTTTCCAAGGCAATGGATTGGTCGGGGTGGGCCAATTTCATAGCCTCAGAGTTTGCCAGTCATCACTCCACTAAATTTCTTTCTTTGGGAGTATGTTAAGGATATTGTGTATCACACCCCTACAGCAAACATTACGGAGCTAAAAGATAGGACAACAGATGCCATCACCATTGTAACTGTGGACGTGTTACTGTGAACGTGAACTGAAATCGAATATTGGTTAGACTTGTTGAGAGCCACTAATGGTGGATATGTAGAAGTCTACTAACATGTCAATAAAAACTGTTTGAGTTGGCTAAAAAATGTTGAAAAACTGCATAATTTTTATTTCCTTAGATATTTAATTATTAAATTTTAAAATAGGAAATATAATTTTGGACCACCCTGTATAGTTAACTGGTTACATGTTAGTTAGCAATATAAAAAACAATAATATAATATCAAAAATTTGTGATTTTGTAAGGAAAAATTCCTCCAAAGAAGCAAACTCACCACTCTTCCACTCAACAAGTCTGAGACACTGTGGAAGGTAAGCAATGGAGAAAAAAAAAGATAAAAGCCAGTTAGATAGAAAAATGACTTTGTTAAATTCAAAAATTAAATATGTTTATGCTGCCATGATATTCATAATGACTGTGAATTTATGAACAAAATTTAAATATTTTTACTTAAATTACAAAGCTAGTTTGTGTATCTAGTGAACTAGAAGTTGTTTTACTTAAAGACCCAAAACAAAATATATTTAGTCTTATAATTTTAGGACTTAACCCTAAGATTACAGACTTTCTTAGATACCATTATCTGCAAGTGGAATATGCAAAATGTATCATATTGAGTTATTTTATGTTTGTTTTTATTACAAATGTTGTGTAAAGAAAGACCAAAAAATTGTATTGACTTGCTCATTTTCCATGTAAAATACATGGGAGACCTCAGAAATAATTAATGGTTTTAATGACAATGCTGACAATATTTCTGTTTAAATTTCTGTGTGCGACACATTTTATTGGCACTCCTGTAATCAATACAATCATGAGCCCCAGTGGAACATAAACAGTTTAGAAAAAATGTGTTTAAAAATTCAATAGCAAGTAACAGTTTTGTTTCATATCATAACAATAGACTAATTAATTTTTCAGGAAATTCTGTACCACCCTGCATTTAACAGGTTAATTAAAAAAAATGCTCAAATTTTTCAAAAATCTAATGAGGCAAAAAAAAGTTACTGGAAGTTTTTTGATAACCTTTATAATATAAAAGGTAGGATAGATATTAATAAATGCCTTCTTTCTTATATTTAATTCATCTAAATACATTAACAAACTTCATAACATAGATTAGATTCTAAAGGCCAAAGATAAGGTAAAATCCTCACTTATTTTTTGATTGTCTCATAAACTGCTGGATTTTCCTTGCAGCTTGATGTCGTCTTCTCTGTGAGTACGTATGTCTAAAAGTTTAAATGTAAAATAAAAATTAGGTCTTGATTAATTGAAAGATCATTGTAATATTTCTGAGAAATTAATACTTTCATCATAAAAGTTTAAGAATATTAGAGATTATTTCATGTTACTAAAATATTAGTATCAAAATATTCATTCTAGATCACTTCAATTACCAAATAATATATTCTGCAATTTGTTAATGCTTTAAAATTTGTATTTGTATATGCTTAAAAAATATTTTTCAAAACATTTCTTAACAAGCTATATCAAGTACCACACTTCCAAAGTAAGCTACAGTTACCCTTAATACAAACTAAAATTCTATAATACACTGAAATGAGTTACAGTGGCCCTTAGTGCAAGCTAAACATTCTACAAGCTACTGAAATGAGCTATAGTCCTCCTTGGTACAAACTAAGGTTCTATAAGCTACTAAAATGAGATACAGTGACCCTTAGTACAAGCTAAAATTCTTGCAGCTACTGAAATGAGCTACAGTTGCTCTTACTACAAGCTATTGAAATGTGCTATAGTTTTAACAAGTATGTCTGAAGAAGTTACAATTAAATTCAACTTAAAAACCTGAATAAATAAATCATAAGAATCTATGAAAACAGAAAATAAGTGTGAAAGTTAAAAATTACTGAGCTTTTTCAACAATAATGGAAACAATACTGAAACACCTGCTTTTATTCAGTTCATTTGTTCTAAATGAAAAATACACCATTAAATATTTTAAAGATGTCCTTCATCTCACTGATACATCAGAACTTTGTCTACCACCTAATGAACCCAGTCAAGTGCTTGGTAAAAACATATGAATCATATCTCATATAAGATGTTAGGGAATGTGTATGCATGGATGTGTTATTGGGTTCAGTTACTTTAGAAAAGCCAGAGTAAAATGTATTTAGTTTTTTTAATTGCAGTTTGACACTCATGAATACTATACATATATAATAATGCATACAAATTTTCATCATATAATCTACAAACTGACCAAAAGAATTTAATGCAAGCTGATTGATAATACAGTTAATAACACATAGATTGATTTGTGCAGTTTAATATTATCCTGTAACAGTGAGTGACTTCAAACATACTTAAAAATTGAAGTTGGAGCTCTTCCATGGTTTGAGCTATAACATTTATTATACCCTTCTTCTGAGTGAAAACTAGGATTCAGTGTTCTGTAATGTCCAATGTTGGTTGGGCCTGAACCTGCTGAGATTTGGTTTTCTTGGCTTTTCTTGAGTTGTTTGTATTTACAGTAATTCCGGTACTGGGTTTGTATTACTTGAGCTGCTCTTGTCATTTGTTTATAGTAAAGATACTGCAAAACAAAAAAGACTAATTAAAGGAATTTGTTAGAAGCTCCCCTTCCCAATTAAAAACAATACTTTTAAACCTTGAGAACATTCTATTGTTTGTAACAGATTATATAATAATATAATAATTTTTTTAATATCAGGGAGTAGTATTTATGATGCTAAGTTTAATCTGAACCTACCATGTTTTTAAAGTCTCATTCAAAATAAAACATTAATAAAAACTGCCATTTTCATGGCTAGTTCCATTGTTCAATGGTTGCATGCAACATATCTACTACTGTATATTTATATATCATAGGTATTAAAAATGGTATTGACCAAAAGTTTAAGTTTTTGTTTGACAAAAAATGTAGATAAGAGCAAAAGTTTCTAGTCTAAAAACCTAAAGAGTTTTATAATGAGGTGTACATTGAAGTTAAAGACAATGGATAAGATTCAAAGTTTACTTTACTAACTGATTAACATAAATGCAACTATGTCAAGTGTCTTTCCTGATATAACACTAATGCAACATATTTAAAGTAAACTAGTTATTGAAAGAAAAAAAAGGACAATATTTCTACTGTCAGTCAAGTATCTAATCTGATGTAATAGATCATCCAACTGAATATTCTCACCTGCTTATATTTATGATAATAACTCTGAATCAATATTGCTGCTATCTTTTCTTTTTCATCTTCTTTACATTGATGACCTTTATAAGAGTGATAAGCTTTTTGAATGACTTTAGCTGCTTCATAAAGCTCTCTCTGTTCTTTGTCTACATATAAAACATCAAGGTTTAACAATTACAGTCTGAAGGTGAAATATGCTGACTGATACTAAAAAAGAAACAAAATATGTACAGAAAACATCATTTTCAACACAAGATCAACAAAAATCATTCACATATAAATAAATATAAATAGTGAGTACTATAAATGAGAAAAAAATTTGTAGTTTAGGAGTGACAAACTGAAATATGGAGAAAGATTTAATATGACTAAAAAACCAAAAACAAGATAAACACATACCTGACAGTGTTAAGCTGGAGAAATCATTATCCATAATTTTGCCAGAAGCTTCTAAAAATTCACAAAAATCTGCAGTGATGGGTGATGAAGAGCAGGACTCAATGGTGAAACTAGATGGACTTTGAAGACTTGAAGAGTTAGGACTAATAGAAGAATGTGGAGTGCTATGACCCCAGCATCTAGAGAATCAACACACACACACACAAATTAGAAAAACATTTTCTTATTTCAAACTAATTCATTATGTCAATTCTTGGAATAACATAATCAAATGACACAAAAACCAAATCAGATCTGTAAGATATATACAAACATCCATATAAAACGTTTACTGTTCTTTATTTTCTTATACCCAGTAGCTAGAGATACGATACTGGATCTTGATTGTTGTTTGGTATGTTTATTATGTCACTATTTTCATGATAATTTTTTTAACTGCAAAGCACAAGATTTTACGTTGATGAGATCTAATACATATGACAAAATGGAAATTGCAGTGGACATAAATTTTGATTGTTATGTAGTTCTGTAAGAAGGAGGCACAACTAAAAATATCTTTGCAGCCTGCCATCAAGTATTAAAAAAAATGTAGACACATTTAATTGTTATTTTTGTGAGATTGATAAACTCAAATGTTAAGATTTTAAAATCATGCATTTGTTTTCCTGTTAAGTATGCACAGTTGCCATATATATATCTGAAATCCTGCTATGTAAGGCATAATTCTGAAAATTATAAGATCTTTAGCAAATAGACATCAAGGTCTGTTACCATGCCTCCAGCGAAAGGGTTTCTTATAAATTTTTTCCAACTAAATAATATCTTGAAGTACATAACTCTATTTGCTTTAAACTCATTTATATCTTCATCAGCTCATAATGCTGTTCACTTCATATAAAAGTATCTATAATTCTGACAAAATTTCATATGAGAAAAGAAAGAAGAAACTAATACAATTATAAGTTTGTTTGTGTTTTGAATTTCGTGCAAAGCTACACGAGAGTTATCTGCACTAGCCACCCCTAATTTAACAGTGTAAGACTAGAGGGAAGGCAGCTAGTCATCACCACCCACCGCCAACTCTTGGGGTACTCTTTTACAACCGTATAGTGGGATTATAATGCCCTCACAGCTGAAAGGGTGAGCATGTTTGGTGGGACGGGGATTCGAACCTGCAACCTGCAGATTGCGAGTCGAGCACCCTAACCACCTGGCCATAAAATTATAAGAAGTTATAAAATTTTCTGACCTATAATTATGGTCACTCAATGCAAAACTAAATTCTTCATTCAGAAGAGAATGAGGAGATTCATTCATTGCACACAGTTCTAGAGGAGGTTTGTCTTGACTGGAGCAATTCTCATGAAGTTGTTCTCTCTCTGTTTGTAGCATCTCTTCATATCCTATTTCTATCAGCCCTTCAAGTCCCCCACTGATTGATTCAGAAGAAGATTTAATGTGGTCAGGCATGGCAGCAATGATTTTCTCAGCCAAGCTTAAAACGTGGTTGTTTTCATCATCCATGTTGAGATCATACTTGCTAATCCTCTGTTGGTAGCTAGAAATGGATTTTCCTAAAGCAAAGTAAAATTTCAAAATTAATGCAAAATTAAGTTGTTTAATTTAATATAACATAACATTTTCGGGCAACATGGGACCTACTGGTCCATCTCAGCTGTTCCACCCTCTAAACTAAATTAAAATTATTTTAAAAAAATTAATAAAAAATTTTAAAGCCAGCTCTTTTCATTCATACTCTTATCAAGCTTTTTCTTAAACTCACTTAAATTTACTGCCTCTACAACATCTGAAGGCAACCCATTCCAAAGACCAACCACCCTGTTAGAAAAATGAAACTGTCTTAGCTGAAGATGACTCCTACCTAGTCCTAATATTCTCATTGTTAAATATAAAAAAAGATGATGCATCAACATTATCAATTCTCTTTACAATCTTAAACACCACAATCAGATCCTCCCTAACTCTTCTTTTTTTCAAGAGAAAACAATTTGAGAGATTTCAGCCTCTTCTTGCATGACAACCCATCCATCCCAGACACCATTCTAGTAACCCTTCTCTGAACCCTATCCAACAATTCAATGTCTTTCCTAAGGTAAGGAGCATAAGACTAAACACAATATTCCAAATGTGGCCTAACCAGTGACCCATACAATGAAAGTATAACCTCTTTAGACTTGTATTCAATATTTCTATAGATACAACCTAAAAATCCTATTTGCCCTACCACTAGCAACAGCACACTACTTGGATGGCTTTAGAGGCTGATCAACTGTTACACCAAGATCCCTTTCCTT